AAAAAAAGAAAAACACAACATAGGGGAAATGCTTCATGACATTGACCTGGTTAAGAATTTTTTGGATAAGAACTCAAAAGTACAAGCACAAAACCCAAAAATAGACAAATGGAATTACATCAAACTAAAAAGCTTCTGCACAGCAAAACAAACAAGCAAACAAAAAATCAATTGAGTGAAGAAACAACAGAATGGGAGAAAGTATTTGCAAACCATACATCTCACAAGGAAGTAATACCCAGAATATACAAGAAAGTCAAAGAACTCAATAACAAAACAACAAATAATACAATCAAAAATGGGCCATACTCAAATCAAATCTAATAGCTTTAAAATGCATATATCGCTAAAGAGAAACACAGAAAAATAATTACCTAAGTACTATTGCAAGAAGTTATGAAAAGAAAGGTTAACTAAGCTCTCAATCAAGTAAAATAAAGAATATAGTAAAGGTAAGATTATAAATTAAGAACATAGAAAATGATATAAAATGGAGATGATCACCAAAGTTGAACTGATTTTTTGAGATGACTAATAAAATTGACCAATTCCAGGTAAAACAGATTAAGAAAAAACAGAAGGCATACCCGAACAACATCAGGAAAAAGAGAAATCCCTACAGAATCTGTTAAAGAGTTAATAAGATTATTACTAAAAAAATATTGTGACAATAAAGTTTACAACTTAGATGAAATATAAATTCCTAGAAAATAAGCATACCAAAATTGACAGAAGAAAAATAAAAGTCTGAACATTCTTAAGTTTTTAAATAAAATGTAACCTATAATTTTAAAACTCACCCTTAAAACCAAACAAAAAAGAAACAAACAAAAATGCTACCAACCCAAATCATTTTGCTAATAAATTGTATCAAGTAGAACTAACAGTAATCTCATGTAAAATGTTCCTGAGACCAAAAATAAGGAAATACTCTCTAACTTGTTTTAAGGCCAACATAACCTTAATATCCAAACCTGACAAAGACCTGATAATAAAATAAAGTTATAGATAAAACTCTCTAATGAACATAGATGTTAATAATCCTAAACAAGATAAATTTACGTACAAACTCAACAAAATAATGGGGAGATACATATATATATATATATATCTCAAAACACATGTCAAAAATCTTTATAGTAGAATTATTAGTAAAAGCCCCAAAAAGAAAACAACCCCAAATGTCTATCAATGGTAAAATAGATTAAGAAATTTTGGTATATTCCTTAGCAACCTGAACTTAGTCATAAATAAACGGCTAACATACAACCAAGTTGGATTTATCCTAAGAATGTGAAGTTAGTTTGATATTGGAAAACCAATTGACAAAATTCACATATTAACAGAGAAAAGGAAAAAATGATCTTCTCAATGAATACAGAAAATGCATTTGATAAATGTACATAATATCCACATCATCCAGGCCATAATCCAGAATTATTCAATCTATGAAAACCAGAAGACTATGATCAATTCTCAAGGGAAAAGACAATCAATAAAGTCCAACCGCAAATTGACCCAGAAAGTTGGAAGTGTGAGATAAAGATTGTAAAGTGGTTTTTATAACTATGTTCCATGCAATAATGAAAAATACACTCATAATTAATGAAAAGATAGAAACTCTCTGCAGAGAAAGACAAAATACCAAATGAAATTTTTAAAAAGGAACCCAACGGAAATTCTAGAACTGAAAATAGAACATTGGAAATTAAAAATGCACAGAAAAGTCTGATTAGCAGAATAGAGAATATGAAGACATTTTCGGATAAAGGACAACTCAGAGAATCTGTCACCAGCAAACCTGTACTATAAGAAGTGATAAACTAAGTTATTCAGTCGGCAGGGAAATGATACCAAAGGGAAATGAATGAAGAACATCAAAAATGGTAAACATCTTGGTAAATATATTATTGCATTTTTTATACACATACAGTTTGGCCAGTTAAACATTTACCATTATAAAATTTTAGAAGTGGAGAAACTGTTAAGATTATGTATTCATGGCTGGGCATGGCGGCTCACGCCTGTAATCCCAGCATTTGGGAGGCTGAGGCAGGTGGATCATGAGGTCAGGAGTTCAAGACTAGCCTGGTCAACATGGTGAAACCCCGTCTTTACTAAAAACTACAAAAATTAGCCAGGCGTGGTGACACGCACCTGTGGTCCCGGCTACTCGGGAGGCTGAGTCAGGAAGAATCGCTTGAACCTGGGAGGTGGAGGTTGCAGTGAGCCACGATTGCGTCACTGCACTCCAGCCTGGGCGACAGGGTGAGACTCTGTCTCAAAAAATAAATAAATAAAATAAAATAAAATAAGATATTATGTTCATTACAACCACCTCACGTTACAGATGAAATATCTGAGGCTCAGAAAGGAAGTGAGTGCCCTGCTCAAGGCCATAAAGCAAGTTGATGTCTCCAGCAAAGCCTGGCATTTGTACTCTCCTTCTCCTGCTTCTTTAATCCCTCAGCACCAACTCCAGACACATTGCAGATCCAGTACTGACTGCATCAGCAACACGTCCTTAACTTCTCTGTATTTGTTTTATAATGTGTAAAACGGATATAATGATGGTACTTACCTAACATGGTTCTCATGAGTACTTAAAATTAAAATA